TTTCCCTTGTTTTGAAGGCAGGTTTTCTTACAGGGTAGCCATTGCAAAAAAACAACAGCACAAAAACATGCAATCAGAGGGGTTGAGGCTTTTTGTGGAAAACAAGAGCAAAATAAATATGACATTGTGTCTGATTTAGTTTTAAAAATTATGATTTTATAAAGATGTCCTTTTCTTTTTTTTTTTTTTTTTTTTCTCCTCTCCTTTTTTCCCCATCCCAAACAAAGTCCGCGATAGAAATCCAGCATGTCTGGCTTCCAGTGAGCCGATTCCATCCTGGGAGGCTGCTAATATCTCTTTACAATATTCACAGTAATAACAAAAAGAGAGAAAGGAAAGCCAGTTCCAAGCCTTTTCCTTCAGCTTCTGCCACCTTTTGCTTCCTGCTGGACCATTAAGTATCAAACAGGCGAGTTCTTTTTCCTTATACCTGAGGGGACAAAGTGCATTACAGGCACCACTACACGTTTCTGCAGAAGACCCATCATTTGCAAGGTTTTAGTCCAGCATTAATTAAGAGTTAAACCACATGGGAGCAGAGATCCCCTTTTGCCGTCCCTACATTCTCCTCTTGGCAGAACATTTTCTTACTTGGTGTCGTCTTAGGCAAAGCCCCATGTTCTTAATCTCTGGGTGGGTCTCTTGGTCATCAGGTTTTATCCCATGGCTGTAACCATGCTGGATGGGTGCGGATGTCCAAATGAGATGCTGGAAGATGGGTGGATGGGGGTAGGTGTTGGTAGGATGTGTCCAGAGTGGCTGAAAGGTGGCAAATGCCCCATGGGCGCCATGTGACTAGCAAGGGCAGCAGCGCTGAAGGGAGACGATTTCTCCTGCATGCACTTGGACAGTTCCTCAAAACACTCGGAGCCTTTCTTGCTTTTCTTTGATTTGTTGGACATTTTCCTATTCCTGGTCTGAATTCCTTCCTTTTTCATAGTCAGAGGCCTATTCACCTGCAAGAAATGAGAAAATCAGGCTCATGCAGACAAAATGACCTTATTGTGCAAAAATGAAAATATTTGGACAGCCCCCATGTGTTTTTCCTGGCCTTTTTCTGGCCAAAAAAAATGGTGTTTCTCTCTGCAGAACTTGTTTATATTGATTTGTTTAATAAAACCACACACACAAAAAAAACCTAGACATGAAAAACAAATGGAACTGAATTTGGCAGCTGATGACTCCCTTTCCCGTAGGCTTACCTTCAGTCCTCATTTATTTCCTAATAGAAGAGATCAAACTAGGAGGCACATGTTGACCCAAATTCAGTCCCAAGACATGAGCAATCTTGTACCAGTAACCTCAGTTACTTACAGTTTAAATAACGTTCCAACATGTCAAGTGATTCCTGCTTAGGATTAATTTAAAAAAAAATATATATAATAAAACAAAGCCTTAGATGTAATTATTTTTAAAAAAAATCAAAATGAAGATGCCCCATCAGGGTTAGTTTTTGCACAGAGTCCATCCCAAATGGCCTCTGTGTTTCTGGAGGGACACAAAACATACTTATTTAAAACCAAGTGTGGTAGCTCTATTTTGCCTGATTTGCCCAAGCGTTAGAAGCCAAGCTAATACATTGTAATGTCACTGAACTTAGCATCACTATGCCGACAAAGAATGGCTGTCACTTCCCAGGGGAACCTTAGAGACCGGGGAAGGAATAAAACAACAACCAAAACCCTGAAACCAATAAAAGCCTAGTGTACGCCATGCAGTTAAGACATCAATCCCAGGCAGGCAAGCAGCGACACATGAGATGAGTAAATACTCACATTGTGCAATTTATAGTAGAGTCCGCAGGCATTACAAACTGGGTCCCCGTTTGCATTACGTCGCCATAAGGTCGTGGTGGTTGTCTGACAGTTGGCACAACAAGTCCCTGCTCTCCTAGCCGCTGACTAACCAAAAGAAAAAGAAAATTAAAAATGTATCAGCAGGAGGGAGATCATGAGAAAGGTCAAGTTGGACTCAATATTTAGGCTAGGTGGAACTTGTTATTAAGATTTTACAGAGCATCAGGGCTGAAGGAAAACTCCTGTCAGTTTTAGGTTTTTGTTTAAATTCAAGTATTCTCCTATGCGGATTGTAGCTTCTAGCCCGTAGAGAGAAACAACGCATCTCTAACTCCACAAACAAAAATTTTAGAGGGGAAAATGACATCTGATTTGTTCAGATTTTCCCTTTTTAGGATTCTAGAATGCATCATGAAAATGCATTTGCCTTGGGTTTTGTTTGTTTGTTTTTAAATGACTAATTTAGCTTGTGCCATGTTGGGACTGGGTTTGAAAAGAGGGAATGATCTTAAAGAATGTGATTTTTACCCCTACTCTGTCCCTTTAAAGATGGACACAAAAGAAAACCAACCACATTACTTAACTGGGTGCAGTATTTATCAGAGCCATCACTGAAAATTCAGTTTCCATTTACAAGTGAAAGGGAGAAAACAAAACCGGCTCCAACTTTCTTTAAATATTTAGCAAACCAAATTTCATGCCTTGCAGCAATGATTCCGCTGACCGGTCTGCCGCCTCTGTCCCTACTCAGTTCCTTGGCTGACAAGCCCTCAAACTGTCTTTAAAAGAAAAAAAAAAGCAAAAGAAACCCAACCCAAAATCCACCACCTTTTCTAAAACTACTATTCTGCTGGAACCAAGGTGGGGGGAAATAAAAATGCCCAAACATTCACCCACCTCCCAAAACAAGAACAGGAAAAGCAGAACAGCAGGCAGCCAGTAATTTCTGGATGGGCCCTTGTCTAGCAGACCCCACAATAATACGTTCTTTGTGCAAGCGTGCTGTCGTATAAAGTGTTATGGACAGACTAATTGCACCCCGTATTTTGGAAAATAATATTGTATTAGAAAGCTTCAGCCCTGCCTCTGAGAGTGGTCAAAATACAGTCCATTTTGTGCAAATGGATTAATGCTGAGGACTCAGCATTTTCTTTTCTTAAATCAGCAGAGTTTACTTTCTAATGCGTATCAACCATGGTAATTTCCCCAGGGCCTTGCTCCCTGGATATTTTTGCAATTAGCCACCCAGAGCCATAGGGTGAAGCAGCGGCGAAGCTCACGTTAACACGCAGGGCATCTCTGTGAGCAGTCGCGGAGCGGTGGGTTTCCCAGAGGAGAACTTTGTGCACTTCCCTGCCTGCCTGCTCCGCTGGGGAGCTGGTGCTGCTCGAAGCACAGACCCACCCGGCTCCTAAAAGCGGAGCACCGGGTTCTGTTCTCACTTGCTCCTGATTTACACCATGGCCCTCTGTAACTTGCCCAAAGCTGATGGACGGCTCAGCAGCTTAAGGCAGGAATCAGGCCCTAGGAGACTCATATATTTCAGTCCCTTACTCGCCTGTGAGAAGAGGCCAAAGGCAGAAAGAGGGGGTACCCCCTACTGCAAGTACACTCATGCAACCCAAACACAATTAATGCCAGACTTCCAAACACTGACATTATTAATATGATCACTTTGCTATTGCATGTCAGATGAACAAATTCCCAAAGATGGCCATCTCCTCTCCCCCGCAAACAAGCAAACTACAGTGGAAAAAGGGGCAATAAACAAAGCTGTAAATCAATTAAAACATTAAAACAACTAAACTAAAAGAAAACCTCTCTAGTGCCCCCCAAACCCCTCGCAGTGATCGAAGTATTAAGTCTCCCAACACACTGGAAGGTGGAGACCTATGTTTGCATATTTGAGATGGCTTACTGATACTCAACTATGCTGCTTAACTCTATGGCCTGTCCCATTCAGACTGGAAAGCACTTGAGCCTGAGAGACGATAATGTTACACTGTTGTCTTAACATTTTTCTATATGTCAGTCACTTTAGAATGTAAGTCATTAAGAAGCTTGCATAGTTGAAATTCTGACTCACGACAGAAATCTTCTCTATCCCGTCCCAGTGTTAGAGCAGTAATGCCAATTTTCTGCTCTCCAAACCTCATTGAAACGTGCCCACGAATAGCTAAGAGACTTAGGCACCATAAATCACAAAGCTCAAAAAAATATATTTATTATTCTTAGCATTTTACGCATTATTTGTGGAGTAGAGTGTATTAGAAATTTCAAAACAGCAAGCATGACTGGCAAGGCTTGCCTATAGAAACTCTCTAAAGCTTTTAGAGTCAGGAAACAGATACACAAAGTTTCCTTATCTTTAACGTACAGATATCCGGATAGGAAACTACTACCAGGAGCTTAGAAAGGACATTTTTTTTAAATCACTCAAATGAAAATACAAAGTATAGGTGACTCCATGGAAAAATAATGGGATTTTTTTTTTTTAAACAGTAGGGGATTGTCTGGGGAGGGAACCAATATTAATATTGCCAGAGAATATAAGAGTGAAAATTACTTCATGGCTTTTATACAAATAATTATTAAGTAGGGAGCAGTAGCTTTGACTCATCTGATTTGTTTTGCTTTTTGGAGCTAGAACTTTTTTTTAGTACACAGTGGAGGGACATTCGTGCTCATAACCCTTTCACTCCCAGTATGTGCCCAAAACATCCCAAGAGGCCAAATAAACGAGGAATTAAATTAAAAGCTGTCATCCGAGGATAAACGGGGAGACGGATACATGATATCCCGCATGTATTGTGAGCGGCAGGGAGGCTGGGGACAGAGGCGCGCTCGGCGGGCTGCGGCGGCGCGGTGGTCTGTCCCGGGGCGGGAGGGGAGGGGAGGGGAGGGAGGGGATCTGCCCCAAGGCACGGCAGTGACCTCGGCGTGACTGACCCCCATGTACAGTACAGCTCGGCTCCACGCAGGGGCTGAGCAGAGACGAGACACGTTCGACCTGTGCCTGCGTGTGGTCCCTGTGCCTAATTTATCCCCAAACCCAGGAGAAAGAGAGACACCTACCAGCCTTCGCTTAGGTTTAATGAGAGGTCGGTTTTGACCATTCATTTTGTGGTAGAGCCCGCAGGCGTTACACAGGTAATGCCCGGTGCCGTCTCTTCTCCAGAGAGGGGTGGCAGTTGCTCCACAGTTCACACACTCTCTGCCTTCTAAATGGAAACACGAAGAAACCGGATTTCTTTCTTTAAAAACAAATTCACAAAAGCTTTTTGCATTGTCCTTTAGGCATTTTCCAGAAGTCAAAACAGTGTGTTAATTCAAGCACAATCAGACAGCAGTGACATCTACAGCACATGCAGCAGGGAGCTCAGTGTTTCGAGAACGCCCGGGCTCCTGCAAGTATTTTATATCCTGATCAGAAATAGGCAGCTCTCTCCGCAAGGTGAGAAAGAGTGACGCTCTTATTGTGTCAGATGGAAGTTATCGTTTCGGTAAGGAGAACTCCCCTAATCTGCGCTGGGCACCGCTCCCCTCCCTTATCTAGTGCACTCCGATGGTTAGATCCCGCGTTCTGCAGCCACAACTACACACGTACACGTGTACACGCACACACACACCTGCAAACACACACCGTGTTAAAGAGAGTCAAAGGAAGAGGTTTTCTAGGATTAAATCCAAGCAAAAAGACCTCCCGTTCTGTGCCTTCTTTTTTGCTGCAAATACTACGGGATGAGAAAGTAGAGCCGAGCAGATTGGGAATGGATACAGAATGCCAAAGGCTGGGTTATGATTTTTGTTCTAAAGGCAGAAAAACGCTGTTAACGCTGATCTTTGAGAAAGTTCAGTTTCAGCAAGCGCTCTGGAAATTACTGTGAAAAACAGGCTTTCAGTTCTTTGCCATTTCTGTGATTTTTTTCAACAATACGGTTTGGATTTGCTAGGGAGCCGTTCAGCTTATTACTGCTTCATTATTGGTTTTAGTAGCACAACGTGGGAAACGCGGCATTGTAGAATGGCTCCATTACAACCCAGCGTGTAACTCCTAGATATCTGTTTCTGCCTCAGAAATCCCTCTGCTAAAAGTTCATTTGCCTCTGATGGTTCGAGGGCAGGTCTGCTTAATATAGAAATCTCTCTTAATATAGTTTATGCAAATCCTACAGTATTTAACCAGAGAGGAAATTCTTTTTGCTAATAACTGAAGCAGGCCATGTCGAGTTCAGCGGGGCTTGTGTCTCCTTTAATCTAGGGAGTGGGTGGCTTTTAAACAACACAGTCTGCAGTGAAAAATGAGGGGAGCTCTGCGGCGCTGCATTTGTAGCTTTTGTCCCTCCTAGGGCAGGAAGCTGCAGGAGTCGCCGTGTCGTGAGTCTTAGTTTTCCTACAAAAACACTGAGTGGTCACGAACTTTCCCCAGTTCCTTGCACAGGGGGCTCCCTTACAGAAAAAAAAAACCCAAACCTAAAACAAACCAAAAAAAAAAGCTCCTTACTTCCCCCATCTAATAAAATCATCGGCAACTACGGGACAAAAATTGAAAAGCTACTCGAGATCCCTTTATCTTCACAGAACCGAGTCTTGAATCGGTTTCCAAACTCGGGAGGCTCATGCTGCTAATTGCCTTTACTGACTACCCTCTGCACTACTAAAAAACACATACACATAGCAGCAACTGCATTTAAATAAGGGCAG